TAATATAATATAATATAATATAATATAATATAATATAATATAATATATATTATTATATAATACTATAATACAACAGAAGGATCGTGTTCTGAGGATTTTATGTATCGTAGGGCCTGTAAGATTGCATACGCTTCGCATGTGAAGATTGAAATTCGTTTAGGAATTTTGTAGGTCAGTTCTTGATTGTCTGTTATTATTGCACATCCACCTTGTCCCTTGTTTATGGAACCGAATGCGACTATATCGTTACCGAAACACATCGCCTTAAATAAAATAACTACAAAAAGAAGAAAGAACAGTATCTATCAAAGAAAGCTATTAGATTGTCCCTTCGCGGTTCTACCTAAAGTTCAACAAAAACGTACGAAACTAGGGCCCCAAAGAATCAACGTTCCCTACCATGGAATCATCCCCTAATAAAACCAAACATTTCACCGATCTACCTAAAGTCCTGAATCCTCGAATCTGAACAAACTAGCCAAAAGTTGACTAGTCTCCATCTCGACCGAGTCTTTCCCGTATCTAAAATCTTTATCACGACGGGATTTCGCGCGCAATGAGGCGCGCCCCGTTATGCTTTGCATTTTCGATTATCACGCTCGCATCTCCACGTTCACCGCTTTATACATTCACCACGTGCGTGCCAAAAACGTACCAAACTAGGCCCCCAAAGAATCAACGTTCCCTATCATGGAATCATCCTCTAATGAAACCAAACATCTCACCGATCTACCTAAAGTCCTAAATCCGCGAATCTGAACAAAATACCCAAAAATTTACCACCATAAAATTAAAAAAAAAAAAAATAGAGAGAGATCAAGTGACCACATCGTTATCGTAGCTAATAGAATCGGTAGCTAATAGAATATCATGGAATCATCCCCTAATAAAAACAAACATCTCACCGATCTACCTAAATCCTCGAATCTGAACAAAATACCCAAAAATTTACCACCATAAAATTAATAAAAAAAAAAAAAAAAAAAAAAAAAAAAATAGAGAGAGATCAAGTGACCACATCGTTATCGTAGCTAATAGAAATCGGCCAGTTCTCTCTTCTCCCGTGGCGCAATTTCATCGGTATCTCTCTCCCGGGACTCGTTCCGAAGCATAATAAAGGACTCCCTCCGTTCTGGTGTCCGTAGCGCCGGACATCGGGTGGATTCTTGTCCCGACCGGTAACGAGACTCCGGAGTAACCAGAGTCACGACCAACCAGGCCAAGAGGAGCAAGCCACGGCGCGGCGCAATCAGCGAGAGACGGAGAGGAACGACGACGTCGGCGGCGTTGTATACGCGCGGGCACGCAAGTCGAGAAGGCAAGGGGGAAAGAGCCGACTCCGCGAGGCCACGTATACGTACACGTGCATGGAGAACCGTGGCCGGAATCATGGTGTACAGGTTGCGACGCGGTGCACGGTGCTCTCGAGCCCGTGAACCATGGGGCATGGACGAGGACGGTGGTTGGCGTCGCGGACGATCGTGGTAGTGAGACCAAGTTTCACGGTGGTGGTAGCCGTGATGGCTAGTGGCTGGCGCCGCCGGACGTTCAACAATGGTCGTGTCTCCCACCCTTCGCCTCTCAACCACCCGCGCCTAGAACCCTTCACGCAAGTCCCCCCCCCCCCCCGTCCGTTCCCCGTCCCCCTCACGTCGCGGTCCCCTCTGCGCCGCGGCGTCGCCCTTCTCTTCCACGCCCGGCTTGTCCCGCCGACGCCTCTGGTCCCATGGTCGTCAAACACCCCCGACTACGGTCGGCTTCGACCCGTACGATTTCCCTGGAACAAGTTGCCACGAAGAGGGGGCACACCGCGAGATAGACCGTCTGGAATTCCTAGCGGCGTTCTGTCGCGCCTTCCTGCAAATTATTCCACGCCGTGACTTGTAATTCCCGCCACGGGTTCTGTGTTTCCTTCTATTACACCGGCACGTAAAGTAACGCCGCGTTTAAGCCGTTTCCTGGGTATTTTTAGGTCCGCGGGATGAATAGGAGTGCGCGGGGTTGAATAGGAAAGGAGGAGGAGGTGTTCATCACCCCAGAGATGGACAAAACCCTAGGCTTCGAGGAAATCTGAAGTTTGCCGACGTGTTTGTCTCGCTTCCTTCTTTGGAAAATGTTCAAAAGAGGAAACGAGACAAACACATCGGCAAACTTCAGATTTAGTCGAAGATTTAGGTTTGCCCATCACTGTGCCACCCCCCGTTGAAGGAAATTTTCTGTATTATGGGTTTTTGCAGTTTTCTTTGGTCAA